TCAAGAGTATTGTGATTTGGGCTTTTCTTTGTTTGATATGTGGAAATGAGACACATAGTAACTAAAGAAAACAACTCAGAAGAACATAATGAGCTAAAGTAGGCAAATCAGAAAGTAATTGAAATAAACGAAAGACTATGAAGAGCTTATTTTAGGAGAGTGTACAGTCTATGATGGGAAAGAGCAGGAAGTATGAGGACATGAGCATTTGGGAAAGAAGGTGAAGCTAAGTGGTTGCACACAGGGAGTCATTAAAAACAAGTGATGCCAAACCTGCTTCATTGCATTTTATGAGGGTGAGGAGTTTGGCACTGTGCCCCCAAAATGGAAATATTGATTTCAGTAGAATAAACTTAGAGATAAACTGTCGAAATATCTTTGAGCCTATCTTTTTCAACACTTTGCAATGACGTTGATGGCAGGCATGGCTAACGTGACAAGATATTTGAGTCTAAACAATCTTAAGAGACTTAAAGTTCATTCATAAAATTTAAGGTGTGTATATTTAAGGAAATCAGTGAAATAAAATGCATAAAAATAACCCAGAAAAACTACCCTTATCAAGAATACTAAGACCCAGAAAGATCAATTAATGTCCCTCAAATCATAACGTGTGTGACAGAAATGTAATGCACATCCCAAAACTCTCTGGGTTCTAGGTATATATTCATTCTTCGCTATCATGGAACCAGGAAGTATGAAAGTATTTGTACATTTCTTAGGAGAACGTTAGATCATATTTTGTATTGGGTGGAAGATGAGGTAAATATCTTTTGAGATGATGATCTAAGAATCTATATTTTTTCCTCATAAAACATTGTTGAAGTTTGGACCGAGTATTCTGAGCAAGTGAATCATGTGAGTTAAGACTTCAATGTGTCAAAAACTGAAATGTTCTTGTTTTAACTGTTTTTGTCTTCATTTATTAGTGATATCAGAAAATGCTGATGTTACCAGTTAAAAATATTTGAAATTTAGTCATTCAAATATTTTCAGAATGTCTAGTAATTATTAATCATGGTTGAAAATACTATGGAGCCCACATGGAACAAAACAAAATTCTTCCCACTACATAGTCAGAATTTTGTGAAGTATGTCTTTCTGCTTTTCCTTTCTCATTGGTTTTTCTCATTACTTTCTGTTTCCCCAAAAATGGCATTTGGATCCCAGGGACAGCTTATATAAATTAATAACATTTGCATGATATTGGTACCTGTTGATGTTTCTTGCAAATATTGACTTCTGGGTACTGAATTCTGTCATCTGGATATGTCTAGAATCTCTGTAGTATGACACAGCTCCAACAGTCACTGTCTCATAGCAGCCTGTGACTGCTTCCTCTCCTTGTTATCCACCTAGTGTGTTAGCACCCTCTGCTGAATGACGTTCTGCCCCTTTCAATTGTAATACCTCTTAACTCTAAGCCTCCTCTTCATCTATCCTCTCAGCATGTGTTTATGTTGAAATTGTAATTTTAAGTTATTCCTAGTGATCTTTATTGCAGTATGAAAGGTTTTTATGAGATTGCTATGAGGTCCAAGCCTGGATGCCTCTCTCATTATTATTATTCTGTTTCACCCATGCCAAGTGGGATGATACATCATTATCCTACTCCAAAAGCCAAGGAGTTTGAACTGAGCCAGAAAAATGAGGTCTAGACCCTAGACTCCATTGCTGCTTCTCTTCCCTGACCCCTCTTCTCATTTCTCAGAAAGATTACCTTTTCCTATGTGCTTTTATAAAAGTTCCAACAAAAAAACAATCCTCTTCACTCTGAATAAATATTGCATCATTGCAAATCCAAAATTCCTGATTTTGGTTTATTGTATGTCTAGGCTTGTTAAAATTTCAATATTGAACAGTAACTTCCTTGATTACTACTTTTTTGGATTAAGTTGGTGGCTCTTCTTTTTTGAAAACATGCCTCCATCTCATGACCTAGGATAAATGGTAGAAGAATCCAGCCATTTAGGGGAAGTGTTGATAGCTACCTGGGAAGTAATATTTCAAAGTAGTGCATGTTGATATATATGAACAGTAGTGGGAAAAGTAAGAGTTACATGAGTAAGTAAAATATTCAGATGCATACAGATATAAGTATATCCTTGGATCCAGACTAAGCATTTTAAAAACAAGGGAGTTAAATCTCAATAGCTGAAGTAGTACCATAGATCAGCAGCAAAAATCATAATTGAATTTCAATTCCCTTATATGTATATTAAATAAACGTAAATGATTTGTGTATAGTCAGGTAATATTTATAAATAAATGCATAATGTCTATATAGCACCTTTACTTGAAAAAATAATGTATTTTTCTCTTTATAAAAGATATGCTTAGCTAAATTTTGGAAGTCAGCTGTATAAGTTGGGGCTATCTTTTACTATGCATGAAGCAGTGACTTGTCTCACATCTGCTTCCTTCTTCCACACCCACCTTCCTTTTTGTTCATTTATGTTTTTCTGCATGATTTAATATATTGAAATATCATTAAATTTTGAGATTCTTAAGATTTTCCTTTCAGAATGATACAGAAAACAACATTTAAACTGCTGTCTTCTACTTCATCTGTAGCCAAAAGACTAAATCATTGTGAATAATTACCTGTAATTTGTTTATAACCTTCTATTATCTCAACTTCTTATTTAAGGAGCTAATTCAATGATTCTCCAAAGAATGTTTCTTCCCTTTTCCTTTAAGTTGTAGTTTAAAAATATTTCACATTGTCTCAGAAACCTAACAAATTGATTACTCAAAGTTCCAACTTTTTAAAATATATACATATGAAATATGTATATATACATAAATATATATATACTTATGAAAGATTTTTCTCTCCCCCACAGCATTTCTGAGCCAATACATGGATTTTTGTGCTGCCAAGCTTTGTTTTGGTGAGTAGGGTAAATGTTGAAAATATAGAATTGAAAGCATTCAAAGAAAGAGGGTAGAATTGTACTGCAAAAAAAAAATCTATTGGGAAGGAAAAAAACCTCTTGATGGTTGCTGAGAGACAGGAAAGGAAAGAATGAAAGGTGAGGAGGGAGCAATATTTAGGTGAACAGTGAGAGTTCAGAGTTTGAGAGTTTAGAGCAAGATAGGAGAAACAAGTACCAAAAAAATAAAGTTTTTGAGAGCGGGGGAGAAATGTAACAGATACTTTAGAAAGGCTACCATAGATTTCATGATGGAACATGACAGACTTCTGCTGTGTTGTCTTCCAGTGTTTGCTGGTGTTTTCCAGCTCTTGTCCCTATTGGACAGCGCATTGTACTTTGACTCTGTCCTGTCTAGTTACAGAATGAGAAGGAAAGAAAGGAAAAGAAAGTGAAGGGAGGAGAAAACACTGGACATGGGATAGGAAGGAGGAAGGCAGCCACAGGGCCTGAACCCAAGCCTACATAATATTTGTGTATCAAAGAACTGCTCTTGATACTATTTCACTTCACAAGAAAAAACACTGCAAGATCATGACAAGTAGGCAAACTTCTGTAATCATCATTAGGACACTTCTGGGCTTTTATTAAGCGTGTTTCCATTTACTCTGTTCTTCCTCCTTTCACTAAATCTTCAAGGAAAATTTAAACACAGTTTTTAAGGTTATTATTTAGCATCTTTGAAACATTGAATGCCTAATATCTAACTTACAACTTTTGGTAAAGAACTTTAAGGCCGGTGTCACGGCTCACTAGGCTAATCCTCCGCCTGTGGCTCCGGCACCCCAGGTTCTATTCCCGGTTGGGGCGCTGGTTCTGTCCCAGTTGCTCCTCTTCCAGTCCAGCTCTCTGCTGTGGCCTGGGAAGGCAGTGGAGGATGGCCCAAGTGCTTGGGCCCTGCACCTACATGGGAGACTAGGAGGAAGCACCTGGCTCCCGGCTTTGGATCAGGATCAGCGCAGTGCGCCAGCCGCAGCATGCCGGCATCAGAGGCCATTGAGGGGTGAACCAACAGAAAAGGAAGACCTTTCTCTATCTCTTTCTCTTTCTCTCACTGTCCACTCTGCCTGTAAAAATAAAAATAAATAAAAAATAAAATTAATCCAATTATTTTGATATATAATATATGATTTATTTGCCCATAGATTACATTAATCTCTTGTGTTTCAATTGGGTATGTTTTGCATTATAATCTATGCATACCTTAACTTGATCCATTTTTCTCTGTATTTTAAGTAGCAGTTTGTGGTTTGAGACAGATTTTCTCATTATTATTATAATTATTCTTTATTTCTTTTGTTCCTCCAAAGAAAGTTACCAGCACCTCACTCTTTGAACTACCTTGCAAATAAATTGACCATGACAGTTAATGAGATTGATCTAAATTATATGCACAGTCTCTTTTCAAGGAGTTAAAACTCTAAGATCTTCATCATGCCTATTTTTCACTTTGCAGGAAAAGGTAAATAATAGCTCTGACATTACATCCTTTAAATATTTAATTCAGTAACTTTAAAATCAGTATTTTTAACAACTTAAAAATAAAACTTTGACTTCTTTTTCACTCAATAATTGGAAATCACTAACATTTGACTGCAATAATGATTTGAGAATTCATAAGTGGATTCTTGTCCAGAGGTATACTTGCTCCTCTACAGCTCTGGTTACAGTGTAGAATACCTGTCTCCTTAGGTATATACCTTTGATGAATTTGGCTCTGAAAATCCCAGTTACACCCAAAATTCCACTCCCCTGGAGTGGCTGACTCATCTGGACCACAGACAGGTAGCACCAGTCTGAAAGAGTCCTGGGGCTCAAGTGGAACTCACCCAAGTGAATCATCCCTTTAATGTATGAAACCTTAGAGGAAAGATCAGAGAGAATGTATTGGTTGTCAGGAAAATGCAGGCTACTAGTGGAAATGACATCCTCTATTAATAAGATCTAAGGAGTGACTCACATAATTGTCCTAATTTTTAAGATTGATGGGAAGCATGTCACATGTTCCAATAAATACCTAAAGCATGTGGGACTGCACTTGATTTTAAGAATAGGATTTTTATAAAGAAGGTGGAGATCCCAACTGCCTCTATCATGTCTATATAAATGTCTGATTGTGTGTTTTAGTGCTTTCTGGGGAGTGTCTTGACAGAGAACCTGAGCGGGACAGGTAGCCTTGATCTGAGTGGGCTGACTGACACCATGAAAATAGCAGGTGTCTTTCTGCTCCTCTCTCTGGCTCTTTTCTGCCTTTTCTCAGGTGAGTTTTTGTTTTTTCTTAAAATTAAGATCCCATATCTGTACTGAACTGGAGATGACAAGAGTAGTAGTACAACATATTCAAAATTCTAACAAACTTGATATGAAAGACAAGTTAAGAGACATCATCATACCAGTGCTGGTAGTGATTATGATGATGATCATGGTAAGGGTGATGATGATAAAGCATCACTTGTTGAGCTTAAATAAATGGGCATCTAGGCATGTGCTAAGAGGTTTTCTGTTCAATCTCCAAAGGTGATATTCATAGGTAGTCATATCCCTAATCTATTTATACAAAACTGGCACCAAAAAGTTAATAAAATTGCCAAAGGACTTGCAACAAGTAAATAGAACTTATAATTTGAATCCAGATCACAATTGATGTTTGTTCCATAGAACTAGTCTAGAGGATGAATAACTGCAATAAATACTAGCGTGGCTTTTCCAGTACAAAAGAAACTTTCCTGTCCTTAGTTATCAGTACAAAGGGGCTCATGGAATTGAAATTGAAATTGAAATAGGGGAAAATGTAAACTCAGTGAGGAAATCCTTGAATTGAACCTTGGTGTGCAGAAACATATATGTTGCCGGTGAACTAAACAAGTTTTTCAAGCAGAAAAATATCTTTGGTCACTTTAATGAGAAAAAAAATCTTAAGATGATTCAGTGCACGATTGTACATCAAGGTCGTGTTTTTCGTTACAGGGCCATCAGAACAGGTGGAACAATTATATATATTTACTCTCTTCTTTAATATTCTACTGTGTTGTGTTATAGCAGATAAAGCACATGCTGGAGTCTGTAGACCCAAGATTTAGTCCCATCTCTTCCTGTAGAAGGTTGGGTCAGCTGGAGAAATATCTCAATTGTCTGAAAAATTTTCTCATTTGTAAAATGCTAGCAGTAAGACTAAGTTCTTGGTATGTCCACGTCTCGTGTATCTTGTCTGTGAAAATAGCACATGAATTTAGCACTATTAAAGATTTTAAATTGCAGAACATGTTAAAAAACATTTTATCAATGAGTTTTAGCTTCTGGAAAGTCTATGGATCACTGTTGCTGCTCATATTTATGTAAACAAATGAAGTTTATTATATGAAGAAATGGATAAAGGATTCTTTCGATATTATGGAGTAAGCTTGATTATTAGAGCTAAATAACTTAAAATTATAGTGCAATCAACTGCTGAGATGGTAGAAAAATGCATCCAGCCATGTTACAATTTAGTTGCAAAAACAGAAAGTAATTGCTATCATCATATTGCTTCTCTTTGCAAAGGAAGATAAACTGTTCATTAATAGAATGTAGTTGACTGCTAAACCTAATTTACCAAAGTGTAGACTACTCTACCTAAGTTACCAAAGCATAAGTATTTCATAAATGTACTAGGTATTATTTAGAATGAGTGTCTAAGAGCCTTAATGTTAGAACACAGAAATAAATTTATTCTGGCATTTCCACTTTATAGCTTTGTGACCTTTCTGAGCCCAATTTTCCTCATATATAAGTTGAGGATATAAAAGAACGATTTCCGTGTGGGGAACTGAATGATAAAAATGTATGTAAGGTGTTTAACATAGTAGTTGAGGTGTAGTAAATATTCAACAAATGTCCAATTAATATGATGATTATAACTAAAATGTGATTAAATTGAGCACTAGATTGGACTCAGGCATTGTGAGCATTGGTCCCGGTTCTGCTGTGCCATTTACCACATACGAGACATTGGGCAAAACTCTGCTCTTCTCATCACCATTTTGTGCATGGAGAATTAACAGATAATCATAATAATGAGTTTTCCATGGGTATGAGAACTGCTAAGAGCGTTTACAAAAATATAGACTCCCAGGCCCTATCAGATTTTATATCATGGACTTTTCAGGGATTACTCTAAGAATTTGTATGTTTAGTAAACTCACACTGTTAGTTATGAATTAGTGAGGTTAGTAATCACCACTGAAAATGTTCAGTAACTTCCTTTCCAATTTAAAGCCTCATTCTGTCTTTATCCCCATTAATAGAGATTGAACAAGAGGCGTCTCCAGTTGTTCTGCTATGAGTGCTGGGCAGTCCTGGAGATGGAGTGTACTAATCTATACTGCTTCTCACTAAAGGGGCTTTGGGCTTATGTGAAGAGCTGTTGCGGTACTAGGCACACCTCAGAAATAGCTGCAGATAAAAATTCAGCAGCAATTTCCAGGACTATACCTAGGATTTTTACAATTTCCACTTGTTAAACCACCGGGCTATTTACAATGATCCAAAATTACAAAACAAATATGAAAAGGGAGGAAGAAGGAAGGAAACAAGATTGTATATATTGACTTTTTTTTTTCTCTTGAGGAATTTAGAGAGGTGTAGAAGTAGAATTGGTCAAAGAGAAGAAATTAAGTTGGTCTTTACCAGTTTACATTTGGGCCAAGTCTTTTTTTTTTTTTTTAAGATTCATTTTATTTATTTGAAAGATAGAATCACAGAGAGAGGTAGAGACAGAGAGAGAGGTCTTCCATTCACTGGTTCACTCCCCAGATGCCCGCAATGGCCGGAGCTGTGCCGATCTGAAGCCAGGAGCCAGGAGCTTCTTCCGGGTCTCCCATGTGAGTGCAGGGGCCCAAGGACTTGGGCCATCCTCCACCACTATCCCAGGCCATAGCAGACAGCTGGATGGGAAGTGGAGCAGCTGGGACTAGAACTGGGGCCATATGGGATGCCGGCACTTCAGGCTAGGACTTTAAGCCAATGTGCCACAGCACGGGCCCCTGGGCTAAGTCTTTAGAGTTGAAGTCCTGCACAAAGCACAGGAGAGGGTAGGGCATTGTGGTACAGTGGATTAAGTCAGCATATCCCATGAGGGAGTGATGGTTTCAGTTCCGGCTACTGCACTCCAATCCAGTTTCCTGTTAATGCATCCTGGGGAGTAGAAGGTAACAGCTTGGCCGGCGCCGCGGCTCACTAGGCTAATCCTCTGCCTTGCGGCGCTGGCACACCGGGTTTTAGTCCCGGTCAGGGTGCCGGATTCTGTCCCGGTTGCCCCTCTTCCAGGCCAGCTCTCTGCTGTGGATGGGAGTGCAGTGGAGGATGGCCCAAGTGCTTGGGCCCTGCACCCCATGGGAGACCAGGAGAAGCACCTGGCTCCTGCCATCGGATCAGCGCAGTGTGCCGGCCACAGCACGCCAGCTACGGTGGCCATTGGAGGGTGAACCAATGGCAAAGGAAGACCTTTCTCTCTGTCTCTCTCTCTCACTGTCCACTCTGCCTGTAAAAAAAAAAAAAAAAAAAAAAGAAGGTAATAGCTAAAGTGCTTGGGACCTTGCCACCCCCATATGAACCCAAATAGAGGTCTGAGCTCATGGCTGCAGAGGATTCCAGATCTGGTTGCAAGGATTTGAGGAATGAACCAGCAAATGGAAGATTCATTCTCTCTCTCTCTCTCTCTCTCTCAATCTCTCTCTTCTCATTTCAAGTAGATGAAAATAAATAAACCTAAAAATAAGGTACAGAAGAGCAATTTTGAGATCCAAAAACAGACAAATAAGCAAACAAACTGAATACCTTTCCTAAATACTTGTAGCACAGGCTTTTAGGAGGAACTTCATGGACTGAACCTTGAAATGCAAATATTTGAGAGCACTTTTCAATCCAGCTTCTCCAAAATGAGACCATAGACGATAGTAAATTAGTGACAGAGGTAGGACTCTAATATGAATCTCCAGATCCTTAAATGTTCTCCCATCCTCTCCCAACATTCTACAAATGTTGCTTCTTCAAAAAAAAGATGGCTATGAATCAATCAGCATCCCAGTCTCTACTGCCCCTCAAGAAGTGAGCAGGCATTAATAGAAGGAAACTCACAATGTGCTTTGGTTTCTTGAGATCACCAAGAACCAGGAGCAAGCATTGGTGATTTTCTGGTTTCGTAAAGCTTGCAATTCGTAAGTTACACTGTTCGGATTTTGTGCTTTTTTTTAGGTGTCTTCACTCAAGAAGGCAAGGTGAGTGACTTTTTTTTTTATTAATCTGTTCTTCTGATCTGGGTGGGTGCATGGCTAGTATTCTTTGGCAAAAAAAAGAAGTTTGTCTGTGGGTAAAAGGGCAAAAATAATGAGTTGAACAATTTTTGCAGGCCAAATGTAAAAGTCAGTGAAATAATTACTTTTAAAAAACTGTAATCCTTCTATGGGTATGAAATTTTTAGTTTAAAACAGGCTTACATACATAGTCTCACGTTTTGTCAAAGGAAAATGAACACAAATAAAAGTAAGATGGCTCTAAGATAAAAATTCATGTCTGTCACTGATTTCACTGTGTGATACACTTTACTTGACTTCTCTGAGCTTCCATATTCAAGACTACAGAAAAAAAAGGATATTATCCCTATTCACTTCACAGACTTGAAGTTGCGCTTAAATTACACAAAGTATCCCACAGCACTTGGCAAACTGTAAAAGGTTATATGTAGATTAGTTATTGGCTAATAATTAATAGCCTCTGAAAGAGTTAGGAAGAGGTTATTACTGCTTTCTTAGAAACAAGAACTTAAAGTAGGCAGAAAACTTGTTCAATGTTCTGTATTCAGGACACACAGACTAGTTCACTCAAATCTGAATACACTTTGGGGTTAAAAATTGAACTAGGAACAATTTATCCCCATTGGTGGGCTTTATATTTTCCAAACTTCATCACATCTCATATGTGAATGGGATTCAATGATCTATAAAGCCCTTCTCTGCCCTAAATATCTGAATTATTATGAACCAAGCCTGTCTTGCCAAGGCTGCTATCTCTTGTCCCCTCAAATATAAAGGACAGAGAGATGCCACTTCTCTTCTTCATGGCTGGAGGAAGGGTGGACTCTCAGTAACAAGCAGAAAAAATTGAAACCGAAGTTAAGAGCATGCCTGCTCAAGTCTGATCCAGCCAAAACCAAAGAAACGAAGATTTACTGACACTCAAACCATTCTTCTTATGCCAAGAATTCTCTCCATGATGAAAGAAGTGATGGAAGATTATAATTAGCAATCTAAATTATAGACCTTTAGCATTTTTATATTTTTTCAAAAAGATTATTCATGCTAAGCAAACACACATTCCTAGACTTGTGGAACTTGTGTTCCAGTAAAATTTTTTCTCATAAATATACTTGCAAGTGACCAATATGTTGCTCCCTTTTTAATTTGCCAAGTAGGTACATTAAATCACATAATAATAATAATAAGTAAAATAAAACTGTTTGCCATAACTAGTATTTCATTAAGAAGCTGTAGTATAATTCCAAAAGATTCTCAGAATAAGGATTTTTTTAAAAGATTTATTTGAAAGGCAGAGTTATAAAGAGAAGAAGAGACAGAGAAACCTTCGGTCCGCTGGTTCATTCCCCTAGTGGCCATAACAGCCAGGGATGGTCCAGCCCAAAGCCTGTGTTTCCAGGTCTCCCATGTGAGTGCAGGGGCCCAAGCAAGTGGACCATCTTCTGCATTAGCAGGGATCTCGATCAGCAGTGGAGCAGCCGGAACTCAAACTGGCACCCTTATGGGCTACCGGTGCTGCAGGCAGAGGCTTAACCTGTGCACCACAGTGCTGACCCCAGGATTGTTTTCAAAAGTGAGTAAATTTTACTTTTTGAATCAGTCACTATATTGTCTTTGATGTTTTTTTAATATTATTTTATTTTACTACCAGATTCTGTATTTGAAAATCATATTCTTAAAGACACATTTAAATGAATAGTCTAGTTTGGAATTAACAGAACAAACCTCTTATAAGCAATGAATGACAATCATTTTCATTTATAATACTTTGGCATATTTAGGTTTATTTTTGTTGTAGCTTAAGATAAAAATTGGAGAATTTGAGTACAGTTAATTAAACAACATTTCATGACTAGAAAGAAGTTGAGGCTCTTCATTTTTCCTGAACAGCTTTATTTTACCTACAAGTAATGTATTGACCAAATAGCTAAATACAACTGCATCTACAACTTTCCCATCTACAGATGGGAAAACTGAAACCCAGAAAGAGGAGCCGGTCAGCTGAAGGCTACTGGTCACTGTAAAGCTGTAGAGTCCCCGTCTCTGGATGTCAGACTCTATATTAGTGGATTTTAATTCATAATAGAGAGCAATTGTCAGTGCATGTGAAAAAGCTTTGAGCAGAATTCTCTAAATCAGCATACGAGAGCGATTAATATCTTGAAGCAAAGAATAGGATAACAGCAGTTTAAAGTAAGATAAGTTGTCTCCACGTGCAGGGAGGATGTGAAAGTAAGAGAACTGCTGTATTAGTTCAGACAAAAAGTTTTGAGAGCTGGTATAGGTAGTAAATCTGGGCTTAGCCACGAGGCCTTGAGGTGAAGACACACGTAAAAGGTAACACTAAGAAATGGCAGTGTGGCGATCTGAGGGCAGCTTAATGAATCTGAAAAATGCTGTTATGAAAAATGGAATATGGGATGCAAAAATGAAAGCTGGGATACAAAACTTTGAAAGAAAAATTCAGTTATATTTTGGACATACATAAGCCGTGTGAATAAAGTTATTTACTAAAGGTGCCTTTTATACTCTGAAAATCAAGAATCAAAATTTGAGATAATGAAGTAAACTCATAAAAACAAGTATGGGATTTATCTGTTCCTTTTGTGAAAATGTTTGTAGATGAAATCAAGAATATAAAACCACCTTCTCGATTATTATAATTAGTATTCTGGAGGAAAAATAGAAGACAACCAACAGAGAACAAACGGGGGGAGAACCAGTAGACCAAATTTTCAAAACGCTGAAGTGATGAAGAGTAGCACTTATCATAAAGAAGTCATCAGATTTTATACATGGCCAATGGGTGTGTCCCAAAAGGCACCATTTTAAAAATGAAGTAAGAAGGAGAGAGAGAGAGAGAGAGAGAGAGAGAGAACACAAACTAGCTGGGCCAAGCCGAGGCCAGAAGCCCAGGACCCTATCCAGGTCTCCCACATAGTTGGCAGGGGCCTCTGTCCCCAGGATGCATAAACAAGAAGCTGGATTGGAAGTGGAGTAGCTGGGATTCAAGCTGGCAGTTCCGTGTGGGATGCAGGCATGTGAAGCAACTGTGCCAAACACTAACCCTGAAAGGCAACATTTTTGAGAGCAGCTTCAGAAGTGCAGAGAGAGAAATAGGGCGAGAGAAAGCCAAGGCAGGCAGTGGTTAAGAATACTTGTATGGCAGATGATGGAGCTGATTTAACCACACAGATAAAAGTTTTTAAGTGAAAGGAAGAAGAGGTGTCATTCTATACCCCAAGTGTGTGTGTGTGATTTCAAATTTTCAGTGGCTTTACTTGTAACCTAAAATGCTAGACTAAAATATTAATTATATTGAGCCTTAAGTTGACTTAATAGCCATATTAGCCCATTTTTTTTTCCAACCAAGTCAAATGATTTTTGTTTTCAGTATTAGTAAAGATGACTAATCTAGGCACTACAATCTCTCTATTCCAAACTGTTTTAAGAGGTGCAATTCTATGAAGAACCTCAAGAGGTCAGGCTAATACTGAATACTGACATCTATGTGCAGAAAGTAATAATTTTCTAGAGTGGAATATCTCAGGTGATAAATGGAGTTTCTTGCCAAATCCAGTATCAATCTAAAGAACATTTCAAAAAAATGCAATATCACTAAAATAGAGTAAACATTAATGGGTTCCCCAAATTGTAGAATTTGGTAAAATATATGTCGTTAGTGTTTATAATCCCAACCTTCCACATAGCACGTGATATTTTACAAATATTTTCAAACAATTAACCCCTATGAAAATTTAAACTCAGAACAATGAAGTTCTTTCATAATGTAATATAGCCAATACATGAGAGAAACAAAATCTAAACCCAGGCCAGTCTAATTCTAAGGGACAACCTCACAATGCTGCAGCCGATTTGGGACATTTTTATTAGAGTCTAGGGCATTTCACCTTTCTCAAGTCCCCTGAGTGCCTCCAGGGTGAAACCTTGAGGGAGATGTAGTATCCTGCCATCAGCCCCAGGCTAGACCTGCTTTGACTTCCACTGACAAACCAATCATTTGATTTTCATAGAAAGGCATTCTATGTGTATAAAACATACATATTTATATGCAAGTATATAAAATATTAGTATATAAAATATTTACATATAAATAAATCAAAGAGTAGAAGTTCAGGTGGAGAAATCTCAGTCTACTTCTCCTAAAATTGTGAACACTGTGTTCTCTTTCTAGTCCCAGTCCTGATGCCCCTTGCCTCATTTGCCTTATGCCTCCCTAAGTGGGTGACTCTGCAGAGACATCTGTCACCTTCCACCGCCTCTGAGGCTCACAGAATGTGGTCCTCTTTTGTCTGCAGCCACCAAGCTATAACTTCTTACAAAGTGCATGGAGAGTGCTCTCTATATGTAAAAGAGAGAGAAACTGCACCCCAAAAAAGTTGCTTTCTTTCTAACTCAACTAAAGGACAAAGAATGTAAGAACTTTATTTAAGTAAGTTCATCAAAAGTAATCACTGCTAACCCTTGGACCATCACAGCTGAAAGGAACCTTAGATACCAGCTAGAATCCATGTAGATCATTTTATATGAATTCCAGATGGCTCTCAGAACTGAGTCAGGAGAGGCTGGCAGAAAAAAAGATTTCTCTCTATACTCCTAATACAGAATGATTTCCAATATTCTACATGAACTCTGTACAACTATTTTGGGACCACATTTTACCCCTTTAACAACACTGGGAAGATGGAAATTAGACTTGGCAAAGGTTTTTTGGTTGACAAAATTTAAATGCAAGTACTGTGTGCTTTGTTGAAGAGAACACAACTAGAGCAGAACAAACTCTATAGCATGATTCTCACTTTACTTCAGGGGTTATCAAAGGACACTATAATTTTTAAAAGTATGAAATGTATCTGTTCTAAGAAAGTTCGATCATATGCCAGTTGATTGACTTGCTTCTGTGTATTGAAAATGTTCTCTTAGTCACTTCCAAAGGACAGGTAAAGGGGATTGAAGGGGAAGGGAGGAAGGGAGGGTCTAGAAACTCTCAAAGTGAATGTTTTGCCCAAGTACTACTTCCATATCTGCTTTCTAAAGGACAAAAGAGGCTGGATCACAAGATCAGAGGGCCGATTGCCAGGGAAAGGTGTCTTAAGGAGACGCCTCTTTCAAGTAAGAGACTTTTTTGTTTCTTTTCCTAGTTGTCCTGACACCAGAGACTCACAAAGCTTTGACTGAGACACCCTTGGCTCAGCTTCCAAGTTGGCTTTGCTTGTCCCACTATGGCATCTACCCAACATGCATGGTTGTTACACACGTTCTTCTCTGCTTCCTTAATGGTGTACTTACTGAGAGAGAGTTCATTACTCTTTTTCCTTGACGTGACCAATACCCATCCCTGTGTCTTCTATACATAATACTTCATCAGTGCATATTTTGTTAATATTTTAAATAAGTGATTCCTTTTGCCAATGCTCATACATTTCCTTATTAAGTCCTTTCTAAAAATAAATTTTGTTGTATATATTTTGGCTTTACAAATGAAGCTATGGGATACATATCGATAATAAAAATATTACTATAGTGAAGCAAATGAATATATCCAGAATCTTACATTGTTACCCATTTTTCTATTGTTTTTGTGTCAAGAGCAGCTGAAAATCTACTCATTTAACATGAATCTCAAATACCTTACAGGTTTATGACCTGCATCCCTCCTTTTGTCCTTTGGGCTTCATAAGCTATTTTCATGAAGCCCAAGTGTTCTGACTGTAAGTGTGGTCAAAGGTTCATAGTGGCAGTTAGTTCTTAACTCTCCCGATGAGGATGTATTGGAAATCAAGTATATTAGACATTTGAAAGTTCTGGGTCAACAGTGAGGAAGAATATGTTCAAGCTTTTGTAAACATTTCCATTTTCATGAACATGGTATTCTCATCTGTCAACTGGCTGATATACTGTTGCTGAATATACCTCGTGAGGGTATTGCTCAGTAGTTTGATAATGAAGTAGTTTGATTATGAAACAATTGGTAAACATAAGACAGTGTTATTTTTAATGGAACTGGGACCCCAAAAAACCAAAGTTCCTCTAAAGTGTTATGACACTGCACACAAAAAAGTGGCTTTTAGAGGAGTTCGGTTTAACATATTGCATATCACATCCTTAATATTCAGTTTCCCTTACACGCCAAGTGTTGACTCAGTTGACATTGTGTTTAAAAGAAATCTTAGAACTTGAGTTTACTTCTGAGAGAACTCTATTGCCAAGGATATATTAGTAGCATAACAGCTACCATTCCTTCTATAGAGCCGTGGTGATAATTATTGAACAATCAACCCATGTTCTGAACAAGATTGAATGCAACATTAAAATACTTCTAAATACAGCAACCGAGGTAGCTGTTACTAAATTATAGTAGGCTCACAAGTTCAAATTCTACTGACTCGGAGACAGAGTAGGTGACAATGGAAACGTTAGAATTTTATTTTCAAGGGATAGTAAGTGGATGTTACATTCACGGGGAAAATAAAAAAGTAATCAGGTAATGTCTTAGAACCCGTTACAGAGTCAATTATAGCAATGCAGAAGGTGTGCTATTAACACAGTTGAAAAAATTAATGTAATTTAATGACCAAAAGCTACCCTCAATTGGAATGATTTACATGGGCCAAAAGTCCTAAAGATAGCATTTAACATCATTAACTTACTACTCAATACAAAAATGTAATGTATTTTCCATAATAAGCTTCCTGTTTCTCAAATAGTTAACATATGCTGCTTAAGCAGACAAGGAGAGCTATTTTCTCTTTGGAGATGCTGTATGTCACAACTATATAGATAAACATGACTTTAAAAGTTTGTTGTCCACAGCTTCTGTTTTGAGGAACAATCCCTTAGATAGGATGTGCTGATGTGACTGTCACTGTGCTTACTTTGGTAGATTGACTGTGCCGAGTTCCGTGACCCTAAGATCTTCTGCACCAGGGAATCTAATCCCCACTGTGGCTCAGATGGTCAGACATATGGCAACAAATGTGCCTTCTGTAAGGCAGTGGCGTAAGTGTTATGCTCACCAAACCTGTCCATTGTGCACACAAACTTTAGGATATGATTAAGATGGCTATCTGGATATATTTTTCTTATTTTTTAACTTATTTCTAATTAAACACTTCAATATCAATGTCAGTACATAATGAACACATTGGTTACGTCTGATCAATGGGGGAAGATGAGATATGAATAATGTATGTAAGCTATTGAAGGGCTCTGTGGTGTGCTGTAAAAAGCCAAATTCTGGGGCTGGCATTGTGGCACAGCGAGTTGACTCCAACTGGAATGCTGGTATCCCATATGAGTGCCAATTCGAGTCCTGGATGCTCCATGTTCAATCCAGCTTTCTGCTAATGTGCCCCCCAGAAAGCAGTGGAAGATGGTTCAATTGCTTGGGCCCCTGCCATCCACATGGGAGACCAAGAAGGAGTTCCAGGCTCCTGGATTCAGCCTGGCCCAACCTTGGCTGTTGTGGTTATTTGGGGGTATGAATCAGCAGATAGAAGATATACATATATATATATATATATCTTATATATATAATATAATAAAAAATATATATCATATATATGTGTGTGTGTGTGTGTGTGTCCCCCTCACCACCCTCCCCCAACTCTGCCTTTCCAATAAAAAATAAAAATACCTGAGTATTTGGCTCAGCTTCTTCCATCTTCTCTCATAATAGAATTGTGACACTGTCAGTCCTTTGTCATTATTTTTTCCATCATTTCTGCCTTTCCCACTTGCATGTATACTTTCTCTTAGGGAGTGAGTACTTAGTATCAAGAAGTCTAAGGTTCATCAGAACTCTGAGATATGTTTAATTGGTGTTTTCTACAGTTAGGCTGGATGGCACTTTTGAGTGCGTTTAATTAATCTTTGCAGAATCACAGGCATGGGTATCTATAGAATCAAATGATAAGAAGAGCCTTACCATAGTTAAACCTGTTTCCAATCTCTGGTGAGTTCCTATGGTATTGCACTGAACATTCGTTTGTCTTTCTGTTTCATAGGAAAAGTGATGGGAAGATTAACCTAAAGCATCGTGGGAAATGCTGAATGAAAGCCAGTGTTTGGTGCTGGCTTGTCAGCACTCTCATTCTTCTGTTTTCATTTCTGCTTTACTTTTTCCTAGCAAATGCCTCAAATTTTTGAAGACACATCTTTTACTTTGCCTGGGTCTTGGGAGTTCAATGTATGTCTATTTCTCTTGATTTGCTTTTCAATAAAGTAAATTCTGCCAAAGCACAGATTATGCTTTTACTTTGAGATCAAGTGTATATACAGGGGGCCGGAGTTGTGATGTAGCAGGTGAAGCTGCCACCTGCAGTGCCGTCATCCCATATGGGTGCCAGTTCTAGTCCTGGCTGCTCCACTTCCCATTCAGCTCTCTGCTGTGGCCTGGGATAGCAGTGGAAGATAGCCCAAGTGCTTGGGCCCCTGTGCCCACGTGGGAGACCTGGAAGAAGCTCCTGACTCCTGGCTTCGGATCGGTGTAGCTCCAGCCATTGCAGCCAACTGGGGAGTGAACCAGCGAATGGAAGACCTCTCTGTCTCTCTCTTTTCTCTTCTTCTCTCTCTGTGTAATTATGACTTTCAAATAAATAAATAAATATTTTTTAAAAAGTATATACAGATGCACCTGGAATAACTGACCTGCTATCAAGAGACCTGTTTTTCTGATTTAAGTCAGTCATTTAGTCACTGTGAAATCTTGGAAAACTCCCTTTCTTTCTCTTGGAATATGCATGTGGATCATGACCATACACTGTGCTTCAATTATTTTAAAATACTTTTATGGGGCCAGCTCTGTGGTGTATTGGGTAAAGTTGTCACCTGCAGTGCCGGTATCCCATATGGGTGCCAGTTGAAGTTCCAGTTGCTCTACTTCCAATCCAGCTCCCTGCTAATGTGCCTGGGAAAGCTGTAGAAGATGGCCCAAGACCTTCAGCCCCTGCATGCAAGTGGGGGACCTGGAAGAAGCTCCTGGCTCCTGGCTTCAGATCTGCCCAGCTCCAGCCATTGCAGCCATTTGGGAATTGAATCAGCGGATGGAAGACCTCTTTCTCTCTCTGCCTCTGTTCTCTGTAACTCTGCCTTTCAAATAAATAAATAAATAATTTTTAAAATACTTATTTTTAAGTATTTGATCATATAATATTGATTCTTCCCCATTTAAGGAAAATATTTTATATAAAAGCAAGACATTTGTCCTCTACAGACCATAGTTTGTTCATCTCTCTGAAATGGTGGCTTTGGACTACATAATGTATGAAAACATACTGTATTTTGCTTCTCAGCAACATCACAGGGTCTACCATATGGAAATATGTTACAAAATGTTCAGTAGAGAATATAAACAAAATCTGTGAGAACTTATGTATTTAATTATAGTTAGTTTTGAACATTATTATGGACTGAGTTAACTGGATGAGACATTAGAAACCCTAAGGCTCTGAAGCCTAATTAGCAAATTGCTAAAGAAAACAGATTCAGTTGGAAGAAAACTGAAGGTTATAACACAGCTCTTGGGTCAGGCACGTAGCTCAGCAGTTTCATGTCCACATCCCAAACTGGAGTGCCTGGGTTCAAGCCTCAGCTCCACTTCTGATTCTAGCGTCTTGCTCATGCCTACTCAGGGAGGCAGCAAGTGATGGATCAAGTAATTGGGCCCCTGCCACCCATGTGGGAGACTCAGATTGAGTTTTTGTATCTTGACTGTTGTGGACATTTGGGGAATGAACCAGAGGATGGAAGATCTTTCTCTGGCTCTCTCTGTCACTTCTATGTTTCTCTGTCTTTCAAATAAATAAATACTTTTTTAAAAAAGATAGTTTATTTTAAAAATAGAACACAATTTCTTTGATAAAGATCAATATCTAAGTATTTGTCTCAATTCTAGAATATGAATATATGTATAAGAAATCCAGATGGAAGCCCTGGGAACTCTTGAGTACTTTCATATAACACAACATGTTTTTATATATAATATATTCCTGGGAAATTTCACACAAAATACTTTAAGTGAATTTACAATGCCGTAACCTTCACTACAGTAACAGCCATTTACTGGGTACACACTCTGGGGTAGACTCTTAAAAATATTTGAAATACAGCTGTGCTTGTGAATAAGGAGGGCCAATGATACTTTACTGTCAGAAAAATAGACAAAAATAATCAATATAATAAACATGTAAATGGCATAATAAGGTAGAAGGTGACAAAGGCCATATAGAAAAAGATTAAGCAGAATTGGTAATAGTTGTACTAAATCAGATAGAGTAGTAATTTGGAAGATCCGGACATGAGGGATTGGACCTAGCAAATATCTTGAAGAAGAACAAAAATAGAAGCTAGACAAGTCCTTTAGACTGGAAGACACCTGTCATCATTATGGAATTATAATCTTTTGTGATCAGGATATTTTTGTTTATATATATATATAAAACTATATTTTAATTATACAATTATATAAACTATATATCTAGGTAGTTTGTAAACTACCTATCTTCTTTCCAGCTACCATTTTTGGAAATCCCCATCCCAACATTTTGTTCTTTCTTTCCTTGCTGTATTTGTAAATTTATTTTTCTACTCATTAGGAAAATCAAATCCTTTTCTTTACTTTCTACTCATTGAAATAAGTTAGCTCTTTTGATACAACAACCACTTTGCCTCTTTGGACATCTTGCCCCTGACATGGCCCACTCCTTCCCCTCTCTCCTGTTTGAACCCTTCCCTCAACCAAGCCAAATTCCTGTCCTCTGTCCTTCACACAACAGGGTCATTACCACTGCTTTTTCCTTTCCTGCATGAATGCCTCTAGTTCCATCTTCTGCTGCACTGACTACCCCTTCCTCCCTCCACACAAATCTTTTATCCACATCTTAATCCTACCACTTATTTCAAGAAATCATATCTGAAAATTGTCAGAATACTGCCTCTTGTCTAGTGGCAAGTTTTTCTTTGAGGATGAAAAGAAAAACTTATAAAAATAAATAACAGTGGACCAGAAATCTTCCATTTCTTAGGAAGAAGAGACAAGTCACATAAAAACAAAGGAACAGTCTAAATATGGGATTTGCATTACAGAGATGTATACATTTGTCAAACCCAGTCAATACACACTGAAGATTTATGCAAATAATTGTTGGAAAGGTTTATATTAAAAGACTATAAATGTTTAGTGAAGTCTTAGCTATGACATGCACAGTAAAAGTCTTGGGGGAAGGATATTGATGCTTACAATTAGTTTTAAATTGCATCAAGAATGGCTTAATGGATAGAAGATGAATAAATGATCAGATGTATAAGCAAACTAAAATCAAGTTGAACACACAGAGATAGAGAATAGGATGGAGGTTACCAGGGGTGGAGACGGGGGGTGGGGGGTGAAAGATGAGAAATAATTCAACAAGTTTGCAGTTAGGTAGAATGAACAAGTTTAGAATCTAATGTACAGCATAAAGACTATAGTTAACAATTTTGTATTCATACTGAAAATGTGCCAAAAGAATAGATATTTTAACAGACGCCCACAAAGGTAAGAAAGATGATTTATAAATTTGTTTTCATGTAGTAATAATTTTATTTTTGTATTATCCAAACATTTTGAACACCTTAAATATATAAAATAAAAATTGAAGATAAATATGGTAAAATATTAGTGATATAATTAGGTTTATAGGTGTTAATTGTTGAATTATTTTAACATCACTATATATTTGAATATTTTCATTAAAACTTTTTAAAATCGCAACACACAGTCTATAATAGGAGCAGATATTGACAATTGTGGATGCATTATTGTGAAATTCAGGACAGAACACACTGTTTCAAGCATAGTTTGTACTCTTTGCTCCATTGCCTAAAAAGAATTTATTTTATCTAAACACCAGTATCCATTGTTATAGTTTCAGATGATAATGGGAACACTGTTAAAACTGACTCACCATCTTGTAATCATTAACTGTTCTCCTTCTTATGCTCCCACTCCAATTGTTGCCAAGTCATGTCTTTCTTAGCTCTTCTCCTTCTATGATTTTTTTGAAGGTAAATTCATGACATGGTGTGTCAGTATTTAGGCTTGAATGAACATAGGTTCCTGGGTGCCTGTCTATGACAATGTGAAGGCTTCTTTAAGTGAAATACACCCCCCCCACACACACATAAACAAATATTAAAATTAAAAAGGATAAACAAAAGAAAGCCAGAGAAAACAATACATAAAATAATGAAGTAAGTCATTACTAATGATGTCAGCTAAAAACTTTCATAATTTAGCACACACATATATTATCAAATTTAAATTTAGCAATGGCTTTGAAGGCATAATCCTATATTATTAAAAAAAAAAAAACAACAACCCAGAAGCCTGAAATATAGAACTTTAAATAATTTGTCAACAATCATATAGTCACAGAATCAGAGTCTGAATTTAAACTCAAGATAATTAATGAAAATATCATAACCCTAAACCATATACCACACAATAATAATAAATTGAGTGACTTAAATGAAAGTGTTGAACTGGAGAGAATCTTCGTGATTATTAGGGAACATCAGAAATAAATGTATCAATGATTCAACAGTGACTCAAGCAAATATTCAAAGAGGTTGACCTGTGTCTGCCATATTTCTAGTGTGTGTGCTATTGTGTGAATTTTGTGATGAAGTTACGGTTTCAGCAGGAGAACTGGTTTCAAATGGATAGACTTGGGCTAGGCATGTAGTAAATGGGTTCCGTCATCTTTCTCTGAGTTTATTTTTTCTTTCAGAGCTGGTGCCTGTGACTTTTTTACTTTTTAAAATTTTAATTTATTTCAGAGGCAGAGAGATAGAGCAGAGAGAAAGAGAGAGAGAGAGGAAGAGAGAAAGAGAAAGAAAACACTCCTATCTGCCTGTTCACTCCTCAAATGCCCACAACGACGTGGGGCTGGGCTGGGCCAGAACCAGGAGCTGGGTACTCAATCCAAGCTTCCCACAAGGTAGCAGGAATCCAATTACTTGAGCTATTGCTTACTGACTTTTTTTTTTTTTCAACAGGCAGGGTTAGACAGTGAGAGAGAGAGACAGAGAGAAAGGTCTTCCTTCCATTGGTTCACCCCCCAAAATGGCCGCTGCGGCCGGTGCACTGCGCCAATCTGAAGCCAGGAGCCAGGTGCTTCCTCCTGGTCTCCTCTGCGGGTGCAGGGCCCAAGCACTTGGGCCATCCTCCACTGCCCTTCCGGGCCACAACAGAGAGCTGGCCTGGAAGAGAGGCAACCGGGACAGAATCCGGCACCCCAACCAGGACTAGAACCCGGGGTGCTGGCGATGCAGGCGGAGGAGTAGCCTAGTGAGCCATGGTGCCGGCCGCTTACTGGCTTCTAGAATCTGTTTTTGTGGGAAGCTAGAGCCACAAGTCAAACTCCAGCACTCACAAACGTGACTCACATAGAGTAACCAGTGTCTTCAACCCAAGCAAAATGCCTGCATCTTATTAGGGGTGAGTATTTGGTATAGCAGTCAAGATACTACTTGGACACCTACACCCCATATCAGAATACCTGGATTTGAGTCCTGTCCACTCTGGTTCCAGCTTCCTGTTAATAAACATGCTGGAGGCAGCACATGATCACTCAGGTGTTGGGTACCTGCCACCCATATGGAAGTCCTGGTTCCAGCCTAACACCACCCTAGCTTTTGCAGACATTTGGGAATTTATATTTATGCTTTCTCTGGTTTAGTTGTTTTCAACGTGCAAGCCTTAATTAATATTTTGAAGGCTTGATGTTAATGCTTCTGTAAATGTTTGTAGAATCCACCAGTTATCTGATCTACAGCTTATCTTCATTAGATGCTTTTGATTATCATTAAATCTCCTTACAAGTTGTAAGTCTACTCAGATTTTCTATTTCTTTGTAATTCCATTTTGGCAGTTAGTATATTTCCAAGAGCGTATCCATTTTATTTGTTATTTAACTCATTGGTGTGTAGATGTTCATAGTGTTCTCTTATAATTTTAAAATTTCTTTATTAATAGTA